AGAGTGGTTGAGACTTGGAATGAAGATGTCGTCATGTACATCTGACACTAAATGTCATAGTGTCACCCGACCGATATTGTCTGAAAATTTAGTTTAAACAGTTTATCAATGTTATTATATTACTGGCTGCATTTCAGCAACATATATTTACTATTATTATTATTGTTGTTATCCCAATCCAGCTGAATGTGAGTGTTGGCGTTGAAATTGCCTCCCTCAGAAACGGAGGCGATAAGATATCAGCAAAATATGCGTCTTAATTAAATTATTCACATAACCTATTTCGGAATGTGTCATTTTACAAGCATCCGATATTTAGTGCTGTTAGAATGTGCTCAGTGGCTTCGGAGACGTAACCTTAAGCGCGAAGGATTTCAGGATGATGTTGCTTGAGTCGAAAAATTTTCTAGTTGATGACTATGTATTTGAGTTCGGCGAATTCTACCCCGGCTAGTAGATTTATGCGAAGGGCGTAAATGTAAAAAGCATTGCAGGAAATAGAGAAAACGATAAAATTCGTCTTTAAACGCCGATGGTTTGTGAAAATTTGGGTGTGGGGTGAGAGGAAACAGGGAATACCACTGACGTGGTGGGAGTGGCTGGGTGGTTGGGGACGTTGGACTTCTAACTAACAGGCTGCAAAATCCCGCAATATGTTTTCAGCACTTCGGGGTTGGGTGCGACCAGTTGACGACGGCTTAAAAGCCAGAAATGGCCATTCCAGTCCCCTTAAATTTTTGGTTAGGCAATTCTGCATACATATACATGCATGCATACACCCAGAAGCATATTACTTGGGAAAATGAGGGATGACCAACTCGAAACAGTAATCCATTGATCCACCAAAGATTTCGGTCACTCAGACCTTAGTAATGACTCTTTTGCAGGACCAACAGGTTACCACCGATGTATAATGCACGTTGATGTATTAACTGGTTTCGCAAATGAAACATGTTCGAACGTGGTCTACGCAATTAACGTGGTATAGTTCTTAAGAGTGATTTGACTTTCCACAGAGTGCATAGGGATAAGATATCAGCAAAATATGCGTCTTAATTTAATTATTCGCATAAACTATTTCCGAATGTGTCATTTTCCACGCATCCGATATTTAGTGCTCTTAGCATGCGCTCGGTGGCTTCACAGACTTAGCTTAAAGCGTGAAGGATTTCGGGAGAATGTTGCTTGAATCCAAAAAATATCTAGTAGACGACTATGTGTTTGAGTTCGGCAAATTCTACCCCTGCAAGTAGATTTATGCAAACAGCGTACATGTAAAAAGCATTGCAATAAATAGAAAAATTGATAAAAACCGTATTTAAATGCCGACGGTTTGTGAAAATAGGGGTTTGGGGTGAGATAAAACAGGGAATACCACTGACGGGATGAGAGTGTAAGGGTACGGAGAGCTGTGTATGCACTCTTCTTTTGACCACGGCAGGCAGTGAGTCTGAACGTTGTTGTTATGTGCGCACGAGATTGGTTTTGGAAACCCGATGATTGGCGCTTAAGTTAATGTTAGCATACAGTGACCCAGTGGCTTCGGGCAACTAGATGGGACCTAATAGATCACATGGCGTCCAGTCGATAACTGAAATCAAGAACACGTGCGAGAACGGGCCTGTTTTTGCCCCTAGCTTGGCCTTTTCCAAGTTACCCCGGACATGCTCACTTAGCCTTCTGTAAAGTCGGCGACTTGTTCAAAAAATTTTGGTTAAATTGACCATTCAGATCA